AAGGGAGAGCGGGCAGGCGGGTTCAGCTGGGTCACGTGGCAACCGCAGGAGCAGGAGCCAGGCAGGCAAGCGCCGCCGCAGGCCGCACCAAGAGCTGTAACTCAAACACACAGGGCTCCCGATCCACTGCCACCACCACGTCCACCACCACCACCCCCGTTCCTGTGCCCCCCCCCACTCACTTGACGCCCCTGCCCACTGCGTCAGCCAGGTCGGACAGCCGCCAGTCCACGGCGGAGCCGACGGGCACGTCTGCGTGGCGCTGGCGCTCCGCTTGCGCATCCAGCTCGGCAGGGCCCAACGTGCCCTCGCTGGCAATGTGCAGCACGCCGCCGGGCGTCTCCTGCGCACGCGGGGATGTAGGTAACGTGGGGGTGGTCAGGGGCAGGTTGCGGCAGCTCGCAACGCCAGCAACCAACAAACAGAGCGCAGCCTGCGCCCGACCGCCACCAGCCACCAGCGCCTCCCCCGCCGCCGCTCACCAGCGCATCCGACTCATTCAGGAACAGCACCCCCACCGGCTTCCGCTGCTGCAGCCGCATGCGCCGCGCCGCGCGCTCCTGCTTCTCCCCCTGCAGCGGCCCGCCCGCCGCGCCCACCGCCTCTGCCGCCGCCGCCTCCGCGACCCGCTCCATGCGGCTCTTGATGCGCTGACCCATGGCGTGCAGCGTCTTCCCCTCCCCACCACCCTCCTGCTTGGCGCCGGCCCCAGCCTCGCCAGCCGCCTCCCGAGGGGCGGCAGACGGCTCGGATGCGGTCCACGCGGCTGTACCGCCGCCGCCGCCGCCGGTACCGCCTGCCCCCTCATGGAAGCTGCTGTACTTGAACTCGTGAGTGCTGCGGGTGAGGGAGCGCACGGTACCGTAAGAAGGTACGGCACAGGCGGCAGGCCGCGAACGCAACCGGTGACTCCTGCTGCTTGGGGCCCGCTCCGCCGCGCCACGTGCATGCAGCCTAGACCCCTGCAGTCCAGCCCTGCCTTACCCAGCCACACACACACACAAATACATGCACGCCCAGCCATGCTGTGTGTCGCCCCCTGTGCCTCACCACTTGATGGCCTCATCCATCATGTCGGCCATGGGCGGCAGCTCGCAGTCCGACAGCACG